CCCCCTTATACGGTGTTCCACAAGGACAAGGTGCAGCTTCGCCCCCATCCTGCCTTTCTTCCGAAGGTGGTATCACCTTTCCATGTAAACCAGGATATATTTCTCCCGGTCTTCCATCCGAAACCGCACGCTACTCGTCAAGACCAGCGTTTACATTCTTTGGACGTTCGCAGGGCCCTGGCTTTCTATATTGACCGGACAAAGCCATTTAGGAAAACGACGCAACTCTTCGTTGCGGTGGCTGACCGGATGAAAGGATCACCGGTCTCTTCACAGTGCCTGTCCTCTTGGATTACGTCCTGCATTCGTGCTTGCTACGACCTGGCCGGTGTACCAAAGCCACACCTCACTGCTCATTCCACGAGGGCCCAGGCCTCCTCGACTGCCTTCCTGGCTCAAGTACCGATCCAGGACATTTGTAGAGCTGCAGTTTGGTCATCGGTCCACACATTTGCTACTCACTATGCGCTGGTGCAACAATCCAGAGACGATGCTGCTTTCGGGTCAGCGGTTCTGCACACAGCAATGTCTCACTCCGACCCCGCCACCTAGGTGGGGCTTGGGAGTCACCTAACTGGAATGGATATGAGCAAGCACTCGAAGAAGAAAAGACGGTTACTCACCGTTGTAACTGTTGTTCTTCGAGATGTGTTGCTCATATCCATTCCAAACCCGCCCCCCTTCCCCACTGTCGGAGTAGCCGGCAAGAAGGAACTGAGGGGGCGCTGGGTCGGCTGGGGTATATATCCAGCGCCATGAAGGCGCCACTCCAGGGGGCTCCACAGCCGACCCACCGGGTGTTGCTAGGGTAGAAAATTCTCCGACGATCGTGCACGCGGCGCGCGCACACCTAATTGGAATGGATATGAGCAACACATCTCGAAGAACAACAGTTACAACGGTGAGTAACCGTCTTTTCTTGCCACCATAGCTGAGATTCTCCTTACCATCAAAGGCCTATTAACAAGAGGCTCCTGTGAGCCACTTCTGCCTCCTCAGTGAGTTTCTACTAAAATAATTCCACCCCCACTCTCTTCTGCAGCTTATTGGCAGCATAAACGTTTCTACACAGAACACCTTGTCTTCCCTCTCAGTCTTGGCTGCTTAGAGATTATACCCATCTATACTGACATTCCACCAAATTCCAGTTACGCCCACTGCATCATAGTCTCCATCATTTAGTAGCCCTTCCAGTTTGGCTTGCTTGTTTCTGTGCAGTTGTGTACAAACATTTTAGTACATCGATACTTGTATTATTTAGCTTTTGTCTCAGAAGATCATCATCTTCTGCTTTACTTCATAGGCTAGAAGTACAGGCCTAGTCATTTGAGTAAAGCAAAAGCTCCCTTTCTCCCCTTTCTCTACCGAGTTTAAAGGAAGTGGAAGGGAGGGATGCAGAAGGGACAAGCTGGTTGAGGGTTGGGGGAGAGGGAATGAGGAGTTCAAACTTCCATAGACACTAACAGTCATCTCTGACTCTGCCACAGAGGGAAGGGAAAGAGATGCATCTCTTCCCTATTGCCAGAAACTTCCCTTTCCACCATCCTCTGCCTGGTGCCAAAACTCCCCGCTGTCCCCAATTCAGCTGCAAAAACAACTTCCCCCGGACAACTTTTAAGGCCTTGTCTGCACAAGAAAGTTGCACCGGTTTCATTAAAGGTGTGATCTGAAACTGATTTTGTCAAACTGATGCAACTTTCTTGTGTAGACAAGGTCTCATATATTTATACATTTTGGGTGAAATCCTGGCCCCGTTGACTTTACCTTGAAATTCAACAGCAGACTAAAATTAATTGAATTTAACGTGATTCGCTTACTTTGCATACAAAGTGTATTACTTATTTTCATATGTATGTTAGCAAAAACCTCCATTTTTTTTTAATTCACCAGAATCTGCTGCAGAGTTTCCAGAGCGCTGCCTTGGTGTTGCATGAAAACTAGATGCCTTGCTATTGAATTTAGGTCCATCTTGTCCCAGAGAAACCACGTTTGTTAATAGCACATAGCACATGTGTAGCACTTTTCCTATTCAAAACACTTCATGAACATTAACTATTGTAAACAATAAGGCCATCTATAAGGTACTTGACTGATCAATTATTCTGTATTCCTCTAATTATTCTTATAGTGAAATAACACTGAAGATAATATGTTAATTGCATGTACAGTATGTAAGCAGACAGTGCAATTCCTTACAGTATGTGTGGGGATTGGGCTTAAATTTGGAGATGGAATATGTATTGTTTGTACAGTTGTGTGATAAATTACTGGCAAATAGAAGCACAGATGGCTTTGCCCTAAGATCAGGCATCACATGCCAGAAATTATCTGGGAAATTGTCATTTTAAAAATAACTCTAGAACAAGTGCCAAGTTTTGAAGGATCCATGTGTCTAATAAACAGATATAAACATCAACAGTGTCCAAAGCTTAAATATATTTGGATTATACTATGGCTATGGAAAACATGCACAATTATCACCTATCTGCTAGTAAAAATGAAATCTCTTCATATATCTTTTGTGCTTTTAATCAGGAACTGGAATTCTTTAATTGCTATGGAATGAATGGACCAAATAGTCACTCTAAATTAAGTTCTAGTTACCTAAGGAAGTTCAAGCAATTATAAAGTCAGGAGAATTTTTGTATTAGTTGTTTAAAGTTATTACACTTTTAGGGCCTAATTATTTAGGAACTGATTCACAGCTCTTATTGTCTTCCATCAGATTTAGGAGTACTCAGCGCTACTGAAATTCAGGCTTTGAGTTTATTAATACTTCAAAGTCAAATTATTGCAGTTTATTAAAGTTGTTGTAACTTTTCAGTTTATTAAAATTGTATTTATTACATACAGTAATTAAACAATGGTTGTTACATTACTATTCCTGATAATAGTCTTTTGCTTCACCAGAAAGTGACATCAGGTTATTCAGGGCCCTATAATTTTCACTATGATGCAGAGATAAGAATGAACTAGATCGCATTCGCTGTGCAGTTAACACTTGTGCTTCTCCAAGGGGTGAGTGCTGCCATGTGTCAGTGACAACTGTCAACTCCTCTCCCCTTCCTCCGCCTCCTCCTCTCTCTGAGACAGGAATGTTGATCTCTCATCTCTGTAATCCATCACCTGTCTGAATCTGTCCTTGTGTCACTTGCATATATGGACAAGTTAGAATGGCAACTTGTGACGTTGTGCTGCTAAAAACGGCTCCAGCTCCCTTCAGCTCTTTGTTTTAACAATGTCCTCCAGTGAAAGAAATTCAAAGGACATTTGATCACACAAGCCTTGGAATTATTTCAAGGAAACTAACCCGGAAACTGACCGACGGTACCCTTTTATTCTGGACATATGCACCTTGGAACAGCTAGGAGATGAGCACTTCTCTGAATTACAAGTCCTTTTCCAAAGAGCAGCAAACCATGGATAACCTGGAGAAACAACTTATTTGTCCCATCTGTTTAGAGATGTTTACTAAACCTGTGGTCATCCTTCCCTGTCAGCATAACCTGTGTAGAAAATGTGCCAGCGATATTTTCCAGGTAGGTTTATTTCAGTATGAAGATTTGCAGGTATAAATATCATTTCCCCAAGGCAAAAGGGAGGGGAGAATTTACACGATCAGTTTATTTGCTGTTAAGAATTTGCAAGTTTTTTAAAAAGGCATAAATAGAAGCTACTTAGACAGGAAACATCTCTGTTTGTCTCTCTCCGCCTGGAGATCTGTGGGGGAAGATCCTCTGCTGCTGTGAGTTGTCATATGGTGTTTACATGTATGGTATCCATATATAGAGGCAACTTGTACCAGCAGAGGATTTGCCCCCTTGTCTTTTACATTTTGACCTATTTTTTGCATTTATTTTTATTCAGACTGAATTTTTAATTTCAAGTATTTAGAGCCAGGAAGATGTATCAGAGGCAGGGCCACCTTGGGTTGAGGGGAGCGTAAACGGGACAGTTTGCCCCTGGCCCCCAAAATGATGGAGAGGTGGCCGGGACGAATCTGAGTGAGAGCATTGTGACCTGGTGCCCTGGGTGGCAGTGCCACTTAGGTTTGGTGCCTGCCACTGACAGTGCAGGTAGCCACTTGCCCAGCCTGACCAGGTCCAGATACCACCACTGCCACTGTGCTCATTGCACCGGGCCCAAGGGAATGCACCAGGCCTGGAGCCCGAAGTAGGGACCAGATCAGAGATACTGCTCCAGAGCTCAGGGAGAGGTGGGATTTGGAGCAGCCCCCTGGCTGCATGCAGGGCAGACCCCTCACAAGCCTGGGCCTTCTATGGCACCGTCTCACCCCACCTCCTTAAACTCTTTCATCTCCATAATAATTTTTTGGAAGGATGGGGGAGGGGCTTCATTTTCAGATTTTGCCCAGGGCCCCCCAAAATCTCTGTGCAGCCCTGAAAAATGTTTACAAGTATTTAATTTCAAAATCATTTTTGTTCTAGCACTATAGAATGGTATGTTTATCTCTAGCACAGGTTGTTGCAATATTATTAGCTGGCAGGTGCTAAGTGAAGTGATATTGGGCCATAACTTTCATCTGGGGATTTTTAAGTCAATTGAGAGTCCTGCTTTAAGGACCTGATCCAAAGATCATTGGAGTCCTGAGAGTGTTTTCACTGACTTCAGTGGGCTTTTGGTTAGATCTGAAATAGGTGGCCTGATATGTGCCTTGTTTTGTGAAAATTAAGGCCATTATTAGAATAACCACAGTGTTAAAAAAAAAGTTAGACATGGCCTTATTCACCTTAATTTTACTGCTTGGCAAGAACAGGCCTCTAACCCATATCTGCCAACCAGAGGAGGCACCACTATGGCATCAGGTGGTCGATTTCGCTGTCCCTCCTGCAGACATGAAGTGGTTCTGGACAGACATGGTGTGTATGGACTTCAAAGGAACCTATTAGTGGAAAATATCATTGACATATACAAGCAGGAGTCCACCAGGTAACATACTAATTTGTATCCTTAAAATAATATTTACCATACAAGATGTTGCAGCTTATGACATTCTCGTAGTCTACCTTTCTTTCCTTTGCTTTGTGAGTTGTTAGTTCTATTTATTTTATTTTATCTTTTGGAGCTGGTGGAGGTTTACTATACTGAGAGACTGGAATGATATCATAAGTGCCTCGGTCTTTATTGTGGAATGAAATCAGCCCTCACTTATTATTCTATATCACTTGACAGAATGCAATGTTAAAATAGGTGCTGATTTTTTGCTTCCCACATATGGAATCTGATTCTGCAGTCCTTATTCACATGCATGATCCTTAGTCATGCAAGCAGAGTCCTTGAAGTCAATTGGGTTAGTCACATGAGTAAGGAAAGAAGGGTCTCACCCATTTACTCATCTTACAAATTTTTCAAAACTTGGATGTTCCACAGTTTGTTTTCAGTCCATGTATTCCTGTCTGTAAAAGGTGCCAGCACTTGTTAGGAAGCCCTGAGGAACAAATAGAGTGCGAACAAATATATTTGAATTATACTCAGAAGCCATTCTGCATCAGAATACTGAATCATCAATATTTTAAAAAAACATTCCTGTAAGCTTGGGATGTGAACTCATGAAATCAAGTTTTATTTAGGCCTCACTTTCTGTACAGAAGAGAATGAAAAGGCCAAAAATAACAGTTCACGACAACACAGTGTAGCTATGCAAAGGAAAACCAAAATCCTGGAGGGGAAGCCTGAGTTAACCCTAAAAAGTAAGATTAACACTAAGGATGCATAGCTGAGCCAGCAGTAGAACGTTACTATTTTCTTTCTTACCAAGTGATAAGCAGGAAAGGTGCTCACACGTCACTGATCATACTTCCGTTTAAATCACAGAGAAGAAAATCTAAATAGCAAACCCAGTCTTGCTCAAGCCAGTAATCCTTATCAACTCAAGCAGACTTCAGTGTGAGTGAGGGGCTGCTTGCAGCATTGGTTTCATGCTGAATGCTGCCTTTTAGTGGCAGGCTGGTTGGTTATTGTTTTCCCTTATTAATTACCAGCTTACAAACCTTTTTGTCAACGAGACCATGTAAGACAGTTTGAGTAGAAAATCACAAATCAACCACAAAGAATGCCAACAAAGAATAGCACATATCCACTGAGTTAGTGGAAACTTTGTCAAATATTTACTTTATGTATCAAACTGTGCCCGGCACCCTGTGATGGTGTACAAGGGGAGGAAGGGTAAGGAGACCCAATTGCAGTTGTTGTATTCCCTTCTGCACAAAAACTGCTCCTGGCTAGCGAATCTAACTACACCAAATGATGCAGGAAGGCAGAGGAGGAGGCAGGGTCATGGTCTTGCATCCTCTTCTCCCAACACACACCATTAACTCTGAACGTAGTGACACAGGAGCTGTGCTCCCTGCCAGAGGCACAATGTCTCCCAGTGCAGCATTATGGCACCTCCATGCCTCCCCAAGTACAAGGCTATGGCTACAAGGCATAATGGAACCCTGCATGCCCAATTCACAGCCCCACTCCACCCCTTTTGCACTACTCCGGTGTAGCAAAGGGGCCATAAACTGGCTAGGTTTGGCTCCTAGAAAATACCCCTGATGTAAAGATGTTCTTCAATTGGTGCAGGCTCCTCTACGCTGTCCTTCATCGCAACCCCATGTTGAAGCATGGGTAGAGAGAGGAGTGTGAGGCTGGAGCACTGGCTATCCTTGGCTGTAGAATGGCCCCATGGAACTGCCCCAAACCAAGAAGCTAGGGAGCACAAAGTTGACTGAGAGCTGTATTTCCCTTCCCCCTAGAGCTCAGCTATTCCCATGAATCTCTGTCCCTGAATGTGTCAGTGATATACAAATAGTTAGCAGGGAAAATCACAGAGGAAATGAATCAGCAAAGCTACTTCACTGGCTGTAGCAGGCAACAGAACAAGCTGATCATATGTGGGTCTTTAAGTTCTTTTTGCATTTTTCTATACAGTGTGAGGTTAACTTTAATACTATGGACATTACTCTTTTTTCCCCATGAGTCCATGGCTTTATTCTGAAGCCATTGCAGCAAGAATAGGTAAAAGATCATAAGAGATTTGGTGATTCTTATTTTTTTTAACTTCACAAATATAAGATGCAATAAACGGAATTGAAGAAGAGAACAAAAATATGCATATAAATGTACGTTGTCTCTGTTATTTCTCTGGAAGGATTATTTTTAATATATGAAGGTATTTTTAACCTTCACTTATGTCCTTAGAGTTACACTAATTATCAGGGCTATCCTGGCAACAGTAATGCATCACAGCATTATCTAAGCTATTTGACACGTTGTATGCCTCAGCTGCTTATCTCCCTCACCCTAACTTTTCTAAAGCCATCATGAGTATGTTGCCAGGAGTCACATTGCCTTATTCTATGCTGGTGTCACCCCATTGAAATCAGTGGCATTACCTTCCCAAAAAACTGGGGCAATTTAGGCCTATTACCTTTCCTACATATCTTCCACCTTATTGAGTGATCTACAGTAACTACTCCACTTTCTTTATAAGGCTCTGTAATATAACACCTTCTTTGTCTCTTTACTTCCCAAATTAAAGGCTAGGTTTTGCCAGACCCTTGCACAGGAGGAGAATGCCAAGAGCCTTCTTCATATCCTTTCCCAGTGCCCCTCTTCACCATTGCAGTCCCTGAGCTTTCTTGACCATGGGAACCTCCCACCTAGTGTCCTTTGGGGGACGTCACCCCAAAGGTGGATGCAAGGAGAGGGGCCTATGGCTCCCAGCTGCACTCCACACAAGCCAGTGGAGCTGGCTGGGTGCACAAAGGGGAGCACCCTAAGGCCTGGTCTACACTAGGCTTTTATGTCGACTTTAGCGCTGTTATATCGAATTAACCCTGCACCCGTCCACACCCGGAAGCCATTTAGTTCGACATAAAGCTCTCTTTAAATCGATTTCTGTAATCCACCCCAACGAGAGGAGTAGCGCTAAATTCGACATGGCCATATCGAATTAGGCTAGGTGTGGATGGAAATCGACGGTAATAGCTCCGGGAGCTATCCCACAGTGCACCACTCTGTTGACGCTCTGGACAGCAGTCCGAGCTCGGATGCTCTGACCAGCCACACCCCCGGGAAAATTTGAATTCATTTTCCTGTCTGGGCAGTTTGAATCTCAGTTCCTGTTTGGACATCGAGGTGAGCTCAGCAGCAGTGGCAACGATGCAGAGCTCTCCAGCAGAGATGGCCGTGCAATCTAATAGAAAGAGGGCCCCAGCATGGACTGATCGGGAAGTCTTGGATCTCATCGCTGTGTGGGGCGATGAGTCCGTGCTTTCAGAGCTGCGCTCCAAAAGAAGGAATGCTAAGATCTACGAGAAGATCTCCAAAGCCATGGCAGAGAGAGGCTACAGCCGGGATGCAACGCAGTGCCGCGTGAAAATCAAGGAGCTGAGGCAAGGCTACCAGAAGACCAAAGAGGCAAACGGACGCTCCGGATCCCAGCCCCACAGATCCCGTTTCTACGAGGCACTGCATTCCATCCTTGCTGCGGCCGCCACCACTACCCCACCACTGACCGTGGACTCTGAGGATGGGATATTGTCCACGGCCGGTTCCTCAGCGGACGGGGAAGAGGAGGAAGGAGATGAGGAGGACGAGGCAGTCGACAGCGCTTACCAAGCTGATTTCCCCGACAGCCAGGAGCTCTTCATCACCGTTACAGAGATCCCCTACCAGCCCTCCCCAGCATGTAACCTGGACACAGATTCAGGCGAAGGATCAAGCGGTAAGTGCTTTAAACATATTAACCTTTATTTTTTACAAAACTTGAATATTAATACTAAGAACAATCTGTGAATCATGATTTCTTCCCCCTGGGCGCTTAAGTAATCAGTAACAACTATTTAAAAAAAAATCAAACAGTGTCCGGTTCTGCATGATTGTGCTGCCCAAGCTGCTCCACTCTTTAGTGCCTGCTACTGCAGCTATATTAGAATCCTGTCTATATGTCCGGGGATAGAGCAGTAGTCCTCCACGGACATCTCCACAAAGCTCTGCTGCAGGTAATGGGATAGCCTGTTCATCAGGTTCCTGGGGAGAGCGGCTTTACTTGGTCCTCCGAAGTAGGAGACGTTCCCGCGCCAGGAGACAAGCAGGTACTCCGGTATCATTGCCTTGCATAGCATGGCGGCATAGGGCCCCGGTCTCTGCAGGCTTTCTCGAAGCATCCGTTGGATCTCGGTGTCCGGGATGTTCATGAGAGTTATGTCGCTCATGATGACCTGCTTTGAATTAGGTAGGGGACTGTTAGTATTGGGACTGCTTGCAACAAGTTCCTTTACAGAACTGTGACCGCTGGTTTACAGCCACGCGGTGGGGGCGGGAGAGGGGCAGCATACAGGGATCATTCCCTGGCTCATCCGCGAGGGGGTGGGACAGGGCCAGAGTTCCTGCTTGGCTGATTGCTGGCAGCACAGACTGGCAGTGCTTTCAATGTGAAAGGAGGCCAGTGGTACTCCTACAGTTTTAAGCAGCCACAAGTCTACGGCTTACCATGTTTGCCTGCTACAGAGAGTACCGTGTCCTGCCCCGCTTCCCAGATCGGCAGTGCAAAAGCCCAGGCACTGAAGGCGAGGTTCGAAAATTCGACCTTGTCCGGAGTGCGCATGTGATAGGTGTGGTTCATGGTCTTGTTCACAGAGAAAAACTATGTTCTTGATTCACAACCACATTTATCTTTCGGAGGAATTCACTGCCTTTTCCTCATTCCCACAGCCACATCTGCAACTGTCTCCTAACCCAGCTTGGCATCACACTCCCAGAGGCTAGCGCACATTAGGCGGAGAAAGAAGAAGACGCGAGAGGACATGTTCTCAGAACTAATGGGCTGCTCCTGAGCCCAGGCAGCACAGCAGAACCAGTGGAGGGAGAATTTGTCACAAATGCACCGGACACACATGGAACGTGAGGAGAGGTGGCGGGCAGGAAGACCAGCAGGCGAC